GAGTATTCAATACTTGTGTTTGAAATGTTCTGAATTAAATACCTATTGTATCACTGATTGATGAACTTCTACATGATCTGGATAATTCTGCCTAATTTTAGATCAAACGTTTTACCAAAGACATTAGATACATTTCTAAATATTTTGGCTCACTTTTTAATAAAAATAATATACATATGAATTATGAGATAGTATAATAAAATAATTTTCATAAAATCAGTACTACATACACGCATCTCAAAGTAAATATATAGTTTAGAATAAGCAAAGTAACAACCTTGCGTCCTAGATTTAGTCAACATCTCAATCGATTTTGAGAGCAAACAAGTACCGGTCCTTCTTCATCATGAGCAAAGACCTGATTTCTTTGCTCCTGGTTAAGCGGGACCTGTGTCTCTTTCCTCTCGAAATCGACTGAGATCTTGACTGAATCTACGCCAAATACAAGGTTGCTTTGCTAACTTTATGTTTCTCTTTGGGGTCTTTCTCTTCTGTTTTAAATATATAGCTATTAAAAAATTTCATGCAGAAAAGTCCCTGTTTCCAATAAATTTTCGATCAAAAACAACGTTTCTTATTACCAGATGTATTTCTACTGTTAACATTCAAAACATTATTTTAGAAGAAACCATGCGTTAGATTACTGAACTGAACAGAACACCTTCTTTTAGATTCTTTCAGTGAATATCTAATGCACATATGCTTTTAAGAATTTCTATTCTTACCATACAAGACATTCCATTATTTAAGCACATACCCTTCTTTTATATCACTGAACTGATCAGAAAAAATTTTCCAATTCTGTAAGTGGATATCTAATGCCAGTATGCCTATTAGAATAGTTCTATCTGAAGTAGAATAAAGTATTAACGTAAAAAATAAAGTATAATGGGTGAAATCGAGAATTCTTTCAGGATTTGCGGTGCTTGAGAAAAATTTAATGGAAGATAACGAACTAAGCACTTAAATGTCATTAAGTTTGACATTACTAATTACCTTCTTAACATTTTAAAGAGATCATGATTTAATATTATTATGTTATAACATTGATGTCGCAAGAAATAGAAAAAAAGTAAAAGATTATTACAAAATAATGCCTTGTATTTATTATTTGCATATAAAACAATCTAGCAATCCAGAGAATATATAACATTCTAGAAAACCGGTGTCAAGTGCACTTATTCTGTCATTATTTAATTTTCATACTTTTTTAAACTTTTGAATAATTGAACAAGTTAATATAATATATTTTATATAATGATTAAAATTAAAACTTCATTCATCGGCTCCTATCGTAGTTGAAAGGCAAACTGAATTATCTGATGACGGATTTATTACCACTTTTGTTTAATTATTAAATGTATTTATAAGTATTTTTATAATAAATTATTACTTTAAAATAAATTTATATTTATTTTCTAAACTGCCGATTATACTTTATGCAAATAAGTGTCAAGTGGTTTGTGGATTGTTAAAAATATTTTGGGAAAAGTCATTATCCTTTTAATATTAAAGTACGTACTGATTAATTGCTGTTAAAATTGTTGATGTTACATTCCTCATCAATAAGTTCTAGCAAAACTATTGCATATTCATAATATTACCTTAGAATGTCATTAAATGGTTAGAATTTCTATTTGAAATATATCATTAAAAATCCACGGCATAAAAAAGAGCCGTGGTGCTATTATGAAAATTTTATTAATCTATGGAAGTTACGTATGCCATGTCTAACGATAAAAAACTCTTCTGAAAAAGTATACAAATTATACAAAGAAAATTTTTTTATCATTTTGAAGGAACTGTCTCATTCTATATTTTATAGGACATTATATTTGTATTATGCAAATTTATATTATTCCCTATTTTTTATACTGCACAGCTTCTTAGGAATTTTTAGGATTTCAAAATTTGATTACAGTCTTCACACTTATATGCTTTACTTATTCTACTACTATATTATATATGAACTTAATCTAATTCATAATTCTTTATATTAGCACGGTCTCTTAGAACGGACATTCTTAGGATATTCCTAAAAATCCTTCAACAAATTTTTTGTAATATCATTTTAATCTATTGGCTTTTACGCACCACATCATATACGATTTTCCTAAATTTATATATGAAAATGAGTAACGACAGAACCTGATGACCGATGGTATTGCAATGATGTCTTTATTTACTTCTAAATTCTCTCTAACACTCGATGAACATAGCAAATAACAAAACCCTCTGCAGAGCACAGTCCAAAATAATAATCAATGAACAGAAATTCAGTTTTGCGAATTTCCTAACAGTTTCTATCAATAAGATTGACTGAACTCACTATCTAACAGAATCTTTTACCCTAACTGGTTAATATTATGCATTGTTTACATAATTAGGTATACCGTCCAGCGTTACCTTAAAAAGCGATTCCCTGCATAATGCTTCTTTCGTGTTAAACAGTATATATTGTTTCAAGTACAGTTTGTTGTGCATTAATATGCTCCCAATACAGTTTTAGTATTGTGATATGACAGCATCTAAGGAGAAAATGATTGCAAATGTAATCATACTGTAATCGTTACTTTTTTGGTAAAGGGTAGCTTTGCCATGCTTTCTGATGCTTGATTCTGCTTCCAACTATTAAGCAGAATGTTTACTTTTATCGGAAGATCAGTATTACACCGGTTATGAGAAATATGACGCGAAATTCCTTAGTATTTTTTAGGTTTAAGAAGAGAGAAGATTTTTTGAGACGATACGACTCGTATTCTTCAATTAGCTTATGCGACACCACTGGTTAAGCATTTTTCTTAACCACTTGTTGATAGGTATTCGGGCGCAGTTCAGTACTGAAGTGGCAGTTGTGCAATTTGTCATACAATTTGGTTGTAGCGATTTATTAATATTCTGTAATTTGATGAAACTAATGCATAAAAAGATTTAATTGCATAATTAAGGTTGAAGATTCGTTTCGACGATTGCTGTTTAATGAGAACACGACGCGAATTTTCTCAGCAAATCCCGTTCTGAGTCTTAATTATTTCTTGTGGCCTGAATATCAAGGATTAATTCATAAAGGAAAAGCATAGTTAATTGAGCTCCATAACTTATTTCGACATTACCATTTCTCTTATTTACAATGGATAGGCAACTTATGATGCGTTTTCTTCACATATTTTCTTTGTCACAATCATGTTGTTGTTGTTGCTTATGCTCACTTGTCTAACGTAGTCAGCCCAAGCCCACGAAATTCCTCGTGGCAAGGACTGCTAGATTACGCCTGCCGTTGGCAACAGCCTTGAGAACCATTCAGGTGACAGTGCTATTTAACACAGTTCCGCCCCAAATTTTGATGGAGAACACCCCGAGGAGACGGCTCCGAGGATCTCCCACACCCCTCCACTTCCACCAAACCACATGAGAGCACTTTCGGCTCGCCGCATATTTAGAGTGCCGCCATGCCGCGCCGACACTATATATTTACAAACATCCATCCCTTCTCCGGGATTCCAACCCCGGTTCTTTGGCACAGCAGTCAGCGACGCTACCCACTATAGCGTGGCTGTCACGGCATAGTGGTTACGACGTAGCGACGATTAACCACTATACCGTGGCTGTAGTGGCTGTCACAAGCGTAAAATTTTGCAAGAAGGAATTTCAACTTCCTAATTTAATACATATTAAAGTTGCATTCAATAAATATACTGGCCACGGGGATATTGAATTGGTATTAAATCATTTGCTTTACATACAGCTGCACACTTTGTAAAATTCATTATTGATTTCTTAAATTATTAGCCCAAAGGGCTATTAGTCTCAAAACAGCATTTTGCGTCGTTTCCCTTTCTGCGTTGGTTCACGTTTCGAATTGTTGCCACCAAATATTATCGCTATGTATTTATTTAAAGAAATTAAATAATGAAGAATCTGCATTAATGCATGATTTTTTCTCGCACTGTGAAAAAACAACGGTACCTAGAGTCATCCAGTTTTAAATAACGTAATCCTCCAACAGTGCATGAAAACTTGGAAGCCCGAATTGTGGATGTTTTTTATTATATATTTCAAATTTTGTAAACTTTTAACGTATTTTTCAATGCTAAACTCAACGGTTTCAAAGTGAGTAATGGCAACATTATACGGAAAAAAAAAAAAAAAAAAAAAAAAAAAAAAAAAAAAAAAACATTTTTATCTCCAGCGCTCGAGAATGCTCGGAAATTCTAAAGATATGCTGTTTTTAAATATTTTGTGATATTGCTGTTGAATTGAATTTTATGTGGTTTAAGTGCTAAAAACATGATATTTAATAAGTAAAGATAACACACAAAACGTTAAAAAAACGCTTTTGGTGTAATATAAAACCGATAATAAGGTTTCAGATTTTTTTTTCCAGTATTAGTGTAGAAAGTATTACTTTCTTTTAATCATTGACTTTGTTTTTTCAATTTCAGTGAAGAACTGCCATTAAGGGCAAACAAGACTCATCAGTTCTTAAATAGCAAAAGTTCGGACTTGCTGGTAGCTTTCTCTGCTGAATCACTTTCTCGACTACAAAAATTCTGAAGTTTTGAATTCAAATATAGTATTTACCAACAGTTATAAGTTCAATCCTTTTCTTACAGTCTCAGATACAGAAACTTAAAGCTATATCAGTCAATCTGAGTTCTGTGCCTACTGTATTCTTTCTAGATGATGAAGAACTTAAATAATTAATTCTTTTTTGCGCCTTTTAAATTTCTTTCCCTAAACTTGGATATTTTAACTTATTTTTCAGATTATCTCTTTTCAGCGTTTTAATTTTCAGAAATTTCCGTTCTTCACAAACAAAAGTTAATGAAATGAAATAGATGAATGTGAGCTTAAATAAAGGTTTTAGTGGCTAATAAAAGTTGATAAATGGTAGGGAGAATTCGTATATCATATAAGAAAAAAAATGTCTTTTATAACTCATTGTTTCATTTGGAATTAAATGTCTTCATTAGTATGTATTAATGCAAAAAGACAATATTTTACTCACCCCATCCAATACAATAAAAGAAGATAAATTTGATATCTCTAGGGAATACGACTACAATGCTTGTATGCAGGTGGCTTCCTTCTAAAAGCATCCACATGAACACAGAAGTTCTGGTGTATTCCAATAACATATAGAAAGATTCACAAAGAATAGGCTGCAATATAAAAGAACTGTATTGCAATAATATACAAATATAAGCGAATCATTATTTTTCTAGAATAAAAAATAATGTGATTTATTGCGAGTTAAAATGAAACAGATCTTGCATATCCTTGCAAAACATAGTTTTGTACAACTATGTTTTGCAAGGGTATGCAAAGTTAAAACTATGATAATATGCTGTATCACGTAAGACTAAAAGTCTTTTAGAGTACGTATTATTAATTAGGTTGTACATTTTTGTACACGATATGACTTCATATATTTTTGTATGCGAAGTGAAATCTAAGATAAAGCAGAAAAGAATTATTTTTGAAACATTTTATTTTTATCTGTTCCTCTTTTCTTTCGTTTCTGTCTTATTTTTAACCAAAAGAAATTGCTTCGTTGAACTGAACATGTGGTGACTTGATACACAAGTCAATTCTGCACTTTTGAAGATGTTTTTCAGAGGAAAAAAGATCTGCAGGTAGACCGGTTTATGTACACTGCTCAAAAAAAAAAAAAAAAAAAAAAAAAAAAAAATGGGACAGTCCTATATCTCCCGATCTACTGGGCCGATTGACAAAATTCAAATTGCGTTCTTCATGTATCGAAAGCGCGACTTAGGATATATATTAGTTTTATATATAGCACTATTCTAACATAGGTATTTTGACACAAAATCGGACTTTTTCTGAAATAACATACCAATTTTTTTACATATTTCGATTCTACGACTCAAATTACGCCTAAATACGAAATTTTGTAAAATTTGGAGCGAAATTTACGGAGAAATTCACAAATTTATGTTGGCACTTTTTTGTCAGTTTGCGCCAAGAATAGTTCACTTGGCGAACTTCTTAATATATGGCAAACTAGTTTCCTTTCCTGTGAGTGGAAAAAAAGTCACCATCGTTCCTTTTTCCAAATAATATTCTTATATTATATTTTTAATTATAACTTATTATTTTAAGTAATTTTTTCTTTTTCGAATTTCATTTTAATTGTTTAAGTTGCATGGTTTTTTTTTTTTTTCGAATAACTATTTAAAAATTTCTATTTACCTATTCGAACTGTGTAGTAAATAAAAGGTGCAGCGTTTATTTTTTTTCAAATAGTTTTCTTTATATATTTTTTGTCATAGTTATTATTTTAGGTAATTTTTAAATTTCTTAGACTTTTATTTTAATTGTTTGTGTTGCATTGTCTCTTCAGATAATTGTTTTAAAATTTTCTATTTATTCCTTCGAACTGAGCATTTTAAATAAATTTATTAATATAAATTTTCCAGAATTTGATTTTATTTATTTGAATTGCGTTTCTTTCGGAAGAATACTTTGTAACCCAGACTACGATGCGTTTGAAAACTGCATATATTAAAAGAGAAAATACAGTAAAGCACAGTTAACACGCCTTTCAATGTTCCGTTCAGAAAAGATATATATAAATAAGAGAGACATGTAACTTAATTGCGACATTTTAACTTAGGATGACTTGCATACACTGCTTTAAACAGTTTTATCATTGTGCCCATTGCTTTACACAATTTTATCCTACATTTGGCTTCTTAAATGTTATTCATATTTTAGTCAAATATTTTATTTTTGAAATCGTAAAAATCAAATATAAGATTAAAAAGTTTTAAATTTAAAAAAAAAAAAAAAAAAAAAAAAAAATACTAAATTTACCGTAAAATGTATTTTTTCTTCTCTTTTCCTTCAGGCATTCTACTTTATTCTTGCTCTTTTCTTCATTCTACTTTATTCTTGCTCTTTTTCTTTAGGCATTCCGCAAGTATATTAAAAAATATCCAATTTTCGAAATATCTTGATATTTCTGACAATAATTTTAAATAAAGTTATTCCCTTCCATTTCATAAAGGCCCATAAACGGCCGAGCGGTAAAGTCGCTGAACACTGATCCCGGTAAACAGGCTGGTTGCATGGGCGTTTTCGTGGATTTTCTCATGTGTACTGTGTATGCCAGCTGATTTCCCTTAGAAACTTCTTCACAAAGGCATCCTTCCTTTTAGGCAGATAGCCCTGCTTTGACGTAACTTAATAATTCAATTCAATCCATTTCATCAATATTTCGTCAGAGCTTTTATCAGTCTTTAGAGGCTAAACATTTTGAAGGTATGAGATGAAAGGAAAGACTGGTTTCATCAAGAGGTTTTGGTTTATTTAATTATGACAAAGCACACTAGGGCTATCTGCCTTCGTGTTATCCTTCGTGGAGGACTTTCTAAGGGGAACTGGCTGGCATACACATTGCACATGGGAAAAACCACGAAAATGCCCAAGCAGCCAGCCCGTTCGCGGGATTCGGACCTCGGACAGAACTACCAGCGTTCAGTGACTTTATCGCTCGGCCGCTGTTTCATCAGGAGGAAAAAAAAACATCTTTAGGTTACATCCACATACATCACTGGATAAACTCCTGAATCTTCAAATAATTCGAATGAGAAAATCATGGGATTCTCCATTTATGATACGATATGATGTTCTATAACGTAATTTAAATTTATACAACCATTATTGTCTTTTCTGTTAACCACAAGCTCAATTAATGGTATTTGCTGGTGTACACGTCCAAGTGTTTTTCTTTGAACACCTAAATTCATTGAAGTATCCTGAAAGTATCTGCAAAAGCGTCCAACTTTTTGAAACATCTTGGTATGTCTGAGAGCCAAATTTCCCTGCAAATTTTTGCTTACTTTTCTCCCTAATGTTCTTCTTTCCTTCTACAGTTATTTTCAGTGCACACACAAGAAAATTAAGATTTTTCGATTGCTAGACTTCCATAAATTTTGCAATTCTTGTCAATTTTTTTAAAATATCAATTATATGAATTGCGTTTCAGCTGAAGACAGCTTTTTCATTTTCTAGTCATTTTAACTATAACAAATAAAGTTTAAAGCAAATTCCAAAGGATAATATTTTAATTAAAAGATTTTTTGCTAAATGACAAAGAAATAAAAACAGTCCAGCAGTGTTTAATTCTGTACCACTGAGTAACCCGATTCTTATATCGGCTGAAACAATCTAAATCATATTAAAGATCATTTTTTTATACAATCTATAACGCACGAGAAGAAAATTAGCCTTCTTAAAACATTCTTTCGTAAGAGGATTAATATAAAAGATTATATTATATATATATATTTTTAAAGCTGGGACTTGAACCAAACTGTAAAATTTTTTAAAGTTTAATTTACATGGTGGTTATAATTAAAGTTCCAATTTGAAACTGATCATAAAAGGAAAACTACCGGTACCAAATGTTATCAAACTTGGGAATCGTGTAAAGGAAGGTTATGAAGAATTTATTTTCCGCGGGAAAAAAAAAAAAAGAGTTCAAAAACTCATTACCAGGGGGAAAATGGACACTGTATGTGATATTGTTAAATGAAATAAGACACGAAAACATCGTGTTTAAAATGTGTTTAATCGTATTTTCCGAAATGTGTTACAAAGCATGTTCAATGTAGCGTCTAGCATTTTCCGAAAGCAAGTTAAATCCTGTTACTGCATTCTCAACAGCAGCTCTTAGCATATCGGGAGGAATGTTACGGACATGTCAGTGTTTAACATTTTTCATTTCTGCCAAATTTTTAGATTATCACCATAAACAGTGCTTTTGAGAAAAACCCATAGCTAAAAGTCACAGAGGTTGAGGTCTGGTGGGAAGAGGGGAAGTGTTGGCGTATAAGACGTTCATTCGTGAAATGTTGCCTAAGTAACTGTGCGACACACGTGAGGTGGGGCCCAACCGTGCATAAAAATCGTAGTATCTAAAATGCCACGTTACTGCAGTTCATGTATCACGAAACATTTTAACATTGACTCTAAATGAGCTGCAATCACAGTAGTCCAACTGTCGACTGTTCTTCAGAGAAAAATGGTTCAGTTATAAAACTAGCTGTCATTCCACACCAAACGGTGTGGAATGACTGCTATGCAATCGAATGCAGTAGGAGAATGCAATGGAACTAGATAGATAACATGAGGGATTTTTTTGGCCCCAAATCGATTTTAAAAAGCGTTTTGAATCAGTATCTTCATGTTTTAGGGCCGAATTCAGGCTTCAAAAATTACAAATTAGCGATCTGTAAGAAAACGATTTCCAGATTGTACGCACTTGTGCGAGTGATTTGCGATCTCACATTTTCTAATCGCTAATTCGTGGTTGTCACGGACGAATTTCTCACTTACACGGATGGCGCACTCGACGTTTATCGAATTTAACGCCTTTAAATGGTAATTTTCTTACTTCAAAATTTCTTAAGGGTATGCAACATACGTATTAAACCCGTGTAACAAAAGGTTAAGTTAGATTCCGACCCATATTTCGTTTAAAAATATTGCATACAGCGCCATTTTCCCCCTGGTGGTGAGGTTTGGAACTTTCCTTTTTTCGCGGAAAATAAGTTCCTATGATCACTTTTACACGATTACCAGGTTTGATAACACTTGATCCAGTAGTTTTTGTTTTATGACCGTTTCAATGTTGAACTTTAATTATAAACACCCTGTATATTATTAAATTTTAATTGAAGCTATGCGTTATATGTATACCATGCGTATGATTTCCGCTTTTATAGAAAAATAAAGAATCGAAGCAAATATACTTAGGATAATGGAACAAAACTGAAAAAATTCCCCTCCCTCCGAAATAAAATATTGAAACTTCGACCTTCAATTTATTGGATTATCGAAATATTCAGTATGACATATCTTCTAAGTCCTAGTTCCGACAACAATTCCGTTAAAAATTCCGAATTACTTAAGCTGATGTAAAAGATTTAGTATATATTCACTGTATGTTAGTAATAAGTAATCAGAGTGTAATAAAAATAGATTATAGAATTTACGGCATTGATGCAACTTTTTGTCTGACTGCACAACATGTAATGGAAGAGAAAGGCTTGTAGAGATCTGTTTTTGACATGCCTCTAAAAGTAGATTTCATACTCCTTTTGTCTCTTCAATATCAAAAAACTTTCCTTTGAGA